TAAAAACCATAGCGAATTTTATGGGCATACTGCCGAGATCTCTAGAGGATTTCTGGAAGGTTTTTAGATGAATCCGAGAGGTTTTGTATAAATTTTGTAGGGAGCTTTAGGTCTAAATGTACAGGATCGCGTTTTCTCTATATTCAAATTCAATTTAATGTGCTTTTCTTTTCCAGCATATCAATCAGTCTTTTCTTATACTTTGTTAGGTGGCGTTATAATATTCATCTAGGGTTAGATCATAGTATCATTGTATTCGTCATGCCTCTAGGTCCTTGGAATCACTTTCTCTATGTATTCGTACTATGTTCTCCAGGTCTTTATAATCACTCTCTATGTGTTCGTACTATCTTGCGCAGGTCTTTGTAATCACTCTCTCCTTGTGTTTTGATATTCATCTAACTATTGTATTCACGTTCTCGTTCGTTGCTCCAACCTATAAATAGATCGATTTAAGTTCAAATAAAGTATGTGATATACAACTACATTCATCTCGCCTTATCATCTACTATTCGATCTATAATCAAACACCTTCACAACTTCTATCATTTACTATGGGTCCTAAACGAAAACTTCATGCTCATTAGAAGGCTATGCGGGAAAAACGTTTATCAACAGCAAATCCTGACGATCAACATCAGGAATTTTCAAAATGCAAAGGAAGAGTTCAAAGTCATACACGGATTAGCAACAGTGGTTTAGGCGTTTAGATAGTGATTCGAGACGGTGATCACCTGATTTGCATTGTAGATTGTGATTTTAATTTTGTCTAAAGCCAGAAAATAAATCACGCCCTAGCTCTCGACAAAAACCATTTGACTTCCTACCCTAGATGAATGCCTAAACTCTAGTGATCCAAGAATTAGTCACCATTCTACCAAAAACTTTCAAAAACCTTCCAGAAATCCTCTAGAGATCTCGGCAGTATGCCCATAAAATTCGCTATGGTTTTTAATCTATTTGAGAATACTCAGACTTCATTTCGAGCAGAAGTCGAAAAAAGACCAGGAAAAGCCTTGCCCGTTTTCCTATAGTGCTCAGTAAAAATCGTTTTTCTCAGCGAAGAAACAAAATTTCGAAAAAAGCTCTTTGTTGTTTTGAAGCACGGCATCTAGCGGATCTAATGGCGTAAAAATATTGGCTCCAGCAGTTTCAGCGAAACCTGTGTTAGGTCTGTAGTTTTTGCCTCATGCTTTTGAGTCAAGCCGGTTTTGGGCTCCTCGGAAAGGTCTATTTAGGGTCTGACGGTTTGACAGTAATGTTTCTAGACTCAGTTTTTGATACTGAATCCAAAAAGCTTTGGGCTGAGCAATAGAAGTGAAAGACAAAAAAACTATGGCCATTTTCCGAAAACCTTCGGATTTTTGGGTTTTTTAGAACCCCCTAGGGTTTTTCAAATATCTCAGCGAAGGAAGAGTTCTGAGAGTCGAGAAGGTGATATTCGTGATCAGCATGACTTAATCTATCTAATGATGTAAGAAAAAGCGGAAAAAAAATTCCACTGTAAGCTCGCCCTGCGTGCACCTTATATAAATGCCTACGAGCCGAACAAAAGATAAAAAATTGCTAATTTTCATCTGCCTATTGAGATATATCTTTCAAGAACATTGATTGACTTTTACCTAGTCAGCACAGTAGATACCAAAAAAAACATAAAAAAGGTCTTAGCTAATAACAAAAGAAGCACACCGTCTGTCTGCATTTGTTCAATTTTACGTCTATTTAGAGCAAAAGTAATTGATGAAAAAAGCAGAGTTTAACAGAAAATCAGGATTATATTAACGAAAGGCAAAACGAAATCAGAGTATATGTTTTTCTAATTATGTATTTTATATTCGTTTATTCATGGATACATCGCATAAGCTTCAGCGCTTAAAGTAGTTTGTGTTGCCGTTTCTGGTGATGATTCACGCATTTTTTTCGCCGGAGACATCTCCTTCTCTTCATCACTGTTAGCTGTTTTGACAATTTCGTCATCGTCATCGGTTATTATTTCTTTTTCTGTTTCTTCATCAAACAGATCTTCTTCGCCTCCTTGACTGTCACTATCTAGAACAGAAAATTTTTCACTGATAGAAAGCTCCAGTTTTCAACACTAACCATAATCGATCAACGTTAAATCTGCATATTTGATATCATGCATTGAAAAACCACATGTACCACTAAACGACGTATATATTTTGTCTATTAGCTGTAACTAATCATTAATTAAAGAGCTTACATGATACCAAATTGTTTATTGAGTTGACGAAATTTTTCTTCACCCAGTGTTTCATAGGTTTCTCGTAGCAAACGTAACGAACGATTTCGATGGAAATACTCTAAACTAAAAATATATAATTAGAATAGGTGAGTGTATAAGAACAAGAGAGTACCATTCGTCTTCATTTTCTGGCCATGATAGATCGACATCCTGAATGACTGTCAAATACATGGGACAACGCTTAGGATTTCTTTCCCAATCGACATTATGATCACTGATTGTTATTTCTTTTTCGTCGATAGGTAATGCTTTATCACATTCTTGCTCTTTTAGGCCGCAAAAATAACACCATGACGTTTGACAATTTGGACTAGAAAAGGGAAAGGTCGAACCCCAAATTTCGCACACACGAACAAGTTCTTACCAGGTCATGTGTGTACAGGCATCGTCTTTCATTCCAGCTAGACCACAGCCTGGACAAGCAACTTTCTGACCTTTTTCCATCGCAGTATCAAAAATTTGCTTTTCATTTTTGAGTGTCGCACAGATAAAATGATGCTCCATTTCGTCCTGAAAAGCACATATTTAACTGTAACAAATGTTTTTTTAACGCGAAAGTATCCTTACTATGTTATCTTCATATTCTTCGTATTCATTAACTTCATAACCCTGTTCAAACGTTGGACAATCGCGAAGACAAATTAAACACGATGTTTTTCCACAATCACGATGTTTACAAAACATAAACTGCGCGCCTTCGGATTTTTCACGGATTTCAACGTAACTACAGAATGAACAATGAACCAATTTTTCTGAAACAAAAGGCAAAAACAAGATATGAGAAACTGTTTATCTACTTTTTTGCTTGCTCACCATTTTCTTGAAGGCACTGTTTTGACCCTAAAATAGAATCTTTAATGAAAAATGGCAGTCTTCCTTGAATAATTTGTGACGACACAAATGCAAGAAAGGATAAAGTCTTTTGCTTCTCGGATAATTTTGTTCCTCGCGTTACGTACGAAGTAAGAAGAAAAGTGAAATAAGCTAGAGGTGAAAATTTTCTACGAGTAGCTAATGAAGGTAGCTTCAGTTGTTTTAATGAAGTATTTGGACTAGTTGCGTAAGCTGCAAGGATTATTTTGCCTGCCAAACTCTGTACTTTGTCAAGTAACGCTGGGTGGGTGGAATTAAATGAATCATAAGTTATAGAATCATATTCCAAAACGGAACGAATAGAGATTGGATATACGAACGACGATGACGCATCCGTAGACAGTGACATAGATGGAAAAGAATGCGATATGGTGGAAAATGTTATCCATTCGCATCTTTTTATGTTAAGATCAACAAAATTAGTGTAGAATCAAGAGGTTTCTTCGTTAATACAAGACTGAGCCTTGTCTGGGCCCAGTTTCATCAAACAACTTAAGTTATGTGTGACTTAAGTCAAATCTTAACTTAAGTCACACTTAACTTAAGTTTTGTGATGAAACTGGCTCCTGGATCACAGCGAGGAATAGATCATCAGCTAAGAGAGATATTAAAAGAGGAAAAGCTACCGATTGCACTAAATATTTTATGAATATAATATAAAGTAAAGGACTCAATATATAGACTCTTGAGGAGGGATACCCGAAATGAGTGAGACAGAAATAGAAGTAACAGTATCGACTGCAACTTTTCGCATCCTACCAGTGAAGTAGCATTTGAACCATTCAAAAAATAGAGCCTGAAATTCCAGCAGTTGATAACTTCCTTAACAAAACTTGATCGGTCATTCAGTCAAAGCTTTCTCAAAGTCAAATCTAATACCAACAATTTTTCTTCTCTTATTCAAGCGCTGATATACGTAATTAGTATTCGTTTCTTCAACAAATTGTATCGAACTGCTGTAGTATTGACAACTTTCTCAAATTTTTATAAAATTTTACAGAGATCAGGAAGATGTTATTTTTGACTGTTATTCTTGCATTTAAGAAAAGCGGCATTTCTTCAGCGTGTTCTGATCGGAACAAACGTTCATCGAGAATAATTTGGCATTTAAAACTGTCATGTTGGGCAGAGTCGAGAAAAGTTTTACTACGATTTGTGTGGGGGAAAAAGAGATACTCCATTGAAATACACGGAGTACTCAGAGACAAACGTCTACTGTCTCGCAGAAGCCGATTTTGATACTATGCCAAACGGCAAAGTTGTTCAGAATGCTGAATTCTATAACATATGTGAAAATCAGCTCGCTACTCCACTGTAAAAATTTTGATATTGGTTTCGCGAAAAATACGATATAAATTCGACCATATTTTATGCAATAAATTAATTTCATAATTAATTATGATAATTACAGCCGAGTATTTTTAATAAAACATTCTATTTATGTCATCGATCAGAATCTTCTCTATCGAATCAGTCTCTGTTGAGAAAAAAAAGATGAGATTTGACCAACACATCGATCAAATACATAAAAATGCGCTGAAAGACTACAAGGTTTCTCGAAAAACCACATCAATTTAAATTGGTCGGAGATTTCTAGAAGATTTTTACATCAACGTGTAGGAAAATGTTCGCTCTACCATCATGTTCAATAGCAAGCTTTTCCGACTAAAAATTACTGAGAACTAATAAAAGTATGACAAAAAATTGAAACGGTGCTTCTTTTTCCCCTCTAATGCTTTTATCGTAGTATCGTCAAATGTGCTGGTAGCGACGTAGTAGATATCCTTGAATAATGAGGTAACAGAATAGAACAAAATGAAAATTAAAGAGCATGATCAATACGTTTTGATTGTGTATGAATGCAACGAGCCGTGTAAAGAACGAATTAATAACAAGGGATAAAACAATAATTTTTAATAAATAAGATCAGAGTAAAAGTACAAATATATTAAAGCATATATAAATAAATACAGTAGAAGAAGGAGAAGATGTGTAATTTTGAGAAAGAAATGCGTGGAAATAATAATGTAACAAGACAATAAATTTGAAATTACTGAAGAAACCATGAAACACATTCGCTCGCTATTGATGCTAATATTTACAATTAGAAAATAAACACTGAACAATCCAAGATTCTCTTACCGGTCGACCGTCATACTACTCTGCTACCCAACATTCTTCATTTATAAGTATGAATCGCGCTTCCGTTCGGTCAGTGCCTTTTCGAATAAAATCACATTTTTTCCTTCTCTGATAAAAAGATCAATTTTTTTTCTTGCAAAAGGAAACCAACAAAAACGTCATGCAGTCCATTCTTAACACAAAATGACTGATTCCATGACTCGAGAAGCCCTGAGAATCTTTGCTAATTCTATCAGCTAATCTAGGTCAGAACAAAAAAGTTAGATTATAAGAATTATCCTATGCATGGTCTAGTATGAAGAGAGAAATTATTGTTTCTGACCATTTTTTATTCTTACGCTGTAGAAAATGAAACTTACAGAGTAATGAAAGCATGATTGTCTGATACTTTTCTAATTGAGCATTAGTTAATTGACGTTCGAACACACTTTCATTGATATCAACTTTACAGATCTAGAAGAAATAACAAGACTTCTTCGTCGCAAATGTGACAATAAGACTGGAAATTCTGCCATGCATTTGGGGGGCAAATTGACTTTTGGTTCACTCAGAAAGAGTTGAATAACATTCGCTGAGCATTCCCCGCAAATATGATGACCTTGTGGGCCTAGATGAGGAAAATAGTAACAGTTGAAGGAGTTACGGGAAAAAAATTTAAGAACTTACATCGAATTCCTAGATGTTCTTCTGGCAACATTTCTCGACAGCCAAAGCAACTCACCCCGCTCCCTTTTTTCCCATTTAAAATCTTGTTAAAAGCCATTCTATGTCTGTAAAAAAAGAGAAATTAAAATACATAACGATATCTTCTTTTACTTTCAACTGACGAAGGAAAGTTCCAAAGTGTCCGATCGCCTTTTCCTGCAAGCATGCAGCGCTATAGGTAATTTTCAATGCTGGTCACGAACTTGATCATATAGCCCCTGGGAGTGGATCCTTGAAACATCAGTCTATCGAAACCCATACTAACGTTCAAGATGAAGAGATTCTGATCTATCTTTCTTGTAGAGCATGTTGAGTTACCGGACCTAAAGATTAAATTTGGCCTGGGTTCAAAGAATTTTACATTCCGATTTACTGCAAAACATTATCTTCTTACCTTGTTTTAGAATAAAATTCCTTGAACTCAGGCGGAACTCAATCTTTAGGTCTGAGAACGTTTTCGTACAGGTAACTTACACCGTGGTTATTTATGTATTTCTCCTTTTTCTCTGTGTGTGTGTGTGTTTTCTGTTTGTGAATGTTCTTTTATGTTATTCTCTGACCACATGCGTTAGGTGTGTCTGTCTTACTTATTATTATACTAGCAATTTTCGCTTGTTGAACAGTCAAAATGATGTCATGGGTCTATTCCTCTTTCGTTTTGCTGTTCTATATCTATTCAATGGAAATTTCTTTCTTTTTCTTCTTTTTACAAATAAAGCTTAGAACAACTCTATATGCTCTACAAGAAAGATAGATCATAATTTTTCATCTTGAATTTTAGTATAGGTCTCTACGGACTAGCTTTTCAGAGATCCACTCCCAAGGGCAATATGATCTAATCTGTGACAAGTATTTAAAATTACCTATAACCATGTTTGTTTAAAGGAAAAAGTGATCGGACACTATGAAACCTTCCGTCGTTTGACGCACAATTGCAAATGTTTGATTTTCATCATGCTAAATGTGGACGGAAAAAACCAACATATAAAGAAAAACGGAACTGATAAAAGGCAAAAGAACGACGTGAGTTTTTTCTTCTCACCTACTTTATACGCAATACTCACTTCGGAGAGTGGTATAGAATTCGAACATTCATTTAGGCTCTTGTCTATAGTTAAAATTTTAGATTTATGGCTTAGATTGTAGTACTCTTCGTCTTCAAGAGAGACGCAAGATTTGATGCTACTTGTATTACCATTCCGAAAAGCTCCGGTGAAAAATCATATTTGTTTATTAGTTCCATAAGATCCTACGGCTGTATGACATAGTAGAATTTCTAGTGCAGGGTCGTATTAAATTCTGCAACTGTGGTAAGAGTATAATAGGTGTTTGATCCTAAGATGTTTCAAGTATTAATAAGACAGTATAGGCGTAATTATCCGGTATGATAGCCTTTCTAACCTGGTATTCCACCGACAGTTTGGAAAAAAAGAGGATCTATAGTTTGAAAGAAAAGAGGATTTTGAAAAAAAAAGAGGAAAAGAGAAGTTCGGTTTTTTCAGGCGAAAAACGCTAACAAATATCCTCGCAAGTGTAGAAACATGTAACGGTAACATTAGATTCACGTTAGAATCATAAGACATGAGCCGAATCGAAGAAAAAGTAAAATAAAGAAGAAAAGTACCTGCGCAAAAGGACTAATAGGTAAATCAAACTGTGAACTGTTAAGTCTGGTACATTTAATGCTCTAGTCCTTTCGTTTTCCTTGGTATTTAGTTTTCTATTTTGTCTTAATATGCTCCAAATTCGTAACTGTCGAATGGTGATCCGAATGATGCATGATAGTTGGTGAAAGCACTTGAAACAAAAGACTACATAGGTTTGGGAGAACCGGGTGTAAAAACGTCCGGGACGAACTTAGTCCGTACTGCTAGCAGACATCAGAACGATGACCCAGTATCAAACCTACATGGATATGCTCACTTTTTGATGCTGAACCCGAATAAAATAGTTTTCAAAAACTAGAATAGACGGAAAGCGGTCAGTCTTGATTTTTTTCTATAACACTCACTTTTTGTGACTGTTGCCGTATTTCGAAGATTTCTCCCCAAAAACTTGATCAAAACTCGATGAAAAGGCGATATTCAGAATCAACTCGACGAGCACTATCCAACCATGTATGTTTTGAGGAAATCTATTTTTCTGCTTACCGTTCGAATTTGGAGCACCTTACGTCTGTTTACATGTGTGTGCGCGTGATCTGTTAGTATCATACTGACTGTGGTGCATTTTTTCGTGTTTCTATTTTCATTCTCTTTTTTTCATTTCGTCTGTTTCGTTTATGTATTGTTTTTTTTTCGGCTAGTTGTGATCACTATTATTCTATAATAATATTCTGTCCATGCAATCTTTAATTTTTAAAGATTGCATCATCTTTAGCTATCTCAGCCTATTTTTTTCTTTTATATCACATATTTTTGTTATTTTGGATATATATATGCGAAAGCGTACATTCAGATATAGTTAGTTCGGGTGCATACAGAATACAGAGTTAGTAAGTGGTTGGACCAGTTAGTGGTCTCCTTACTTCATGTTATTCCCGCATATGTATTTTTACCATTATTTTTAAATATACTACATAGATTGGATAGGCACTTTGTTTAATTCAGGTTGCTGAGATAGTTTCTTGTCTCACCTGATTGAAGAACCCGAGCTTAACGACTAGTAGAAGTCAAGAGTAAAAATAAGTGATGACATGAACCACCGGATGAACCAACAATAACGAATTTGTTCGTCAATAGGTACTATATTCGAGGAAAAAGAGGATTTTTAGAAAAAAAGAGGAAAAAGAGGCGGAGTGGGAGGCCAGATTTCTAACAATTAAAGGGTTCAAACAGAACCTTTATGGGTTCCATCTCTTGGATGGAACCTTTTTATAGTTAGATCGAAGTGCGATAGAACCTCAAAGTACCATCGAGGTGATCGATTCATTTTG